CAAGCAGAGATTAGTAAGCCCAATTCTAGCCTTAAAATTGTTAAAATTTCTTTTACTCTATCTAGTTATATCTGTACAGACCATTGGAGGATGGAAATTCAGAATGTAAGCCTTCAGAAAAAGATTTGTTCAAGTGCATGAGACCACATCACAGCACTTGACAACATAAGGCTGAATGAAACGTAGTCTCTCAGCTGGCACAATTCTTCAATTCAGAATGAGCTAACTGTGAATTCTGCAAATTCTCAAATAATTCAATTTTGTCTTTAAATGTGTAACAGAATGTGTCAGTACGCAGTTGTTTAAGTATTACTGTAACGTAGGCAATATTTGGGGCATGGGGATAAACTAGATAGGCCATGCATTCTTTCATAGTATTATTTTAATTTTATCTTAAGTTTTATGATAGCAGAAGAGCACAAAATAACATAGCCAAGCACAAATCTGAGCAGTCATGTACGGATTGAAACAATACGTTGTTGAAAAAAATATTAGTTTTCACTTTTTTATGAAAACTTTTACTACAGCATGTTCAGTTATCACTCATGTTATTTTTAGTAACAAACTTGCTTGAGGTGTTAACAGCCCTAATTGTATATTTTTTTTGTTTCCATTATTACCATTATTTGTGTAAATACAGCTATTCATGGCGGCCTTCCTTTCAGATCATTTTGTTGTTCAGTGGCATCAAGTTGTTTCCAACTCACAGTGACCTTGTATAGGGTTTCCCAGGAGTGGCTGGTGAGTTTGAATATTTTTTTGTTTCCATTATTAGCATTATTTGTGTTAATAGAGCTATTTTATAGAGACCTTTCTTTTATATCATTCATACATATCAAAAATGAACAAGTGTGCAACAACAAAACAATCCTATTATTACTGAGGGCCTTTTGGAGTCCTGGTGTGGACCTGCAGGACAAGCACTGGGCCGCAAGGTCAGTTTGAACTGAAAGATCAGAAGTGCAAACTCATCAGTCTCTCCTCGATCTTTATACAGAGCTGCTGAGAGTTGGAACTAACTTGATGGCACTGAACAACAACAAGAGCCTTTGGACCACTACCTGGCCAGTTCATAAGTTGTCACTAAACAAAAATAAATTTCAATGTATTATACTTTTAATTAGAAAGACAATAATAGGAAGAAAATGGTTATTGAAGCAAGGGTTCCTGACCAATGAATAGATTATATTTGACAAGATCAATATCAATCATGTCATCATTTACTCTCATTTTCTATAAATATATCATGGATAGTACACTGCTCATTGCTTTGATCCTCAATGTTATTTAAGCTTTCCTGTCTTACCTACCACATTAGAGCTTATAGTAAAATCTTTCCTAGGTTCAAACAATTTATAGAGTCCTCAAATCTGGTGAGAACTAACCCCTGGTACTAGTTAAATATTCTATTTTAACTCAGATTTCTAAACTCATTTAATTTTTTAAAGAGTTGTGTTCCCAAATGACCTAGCTGGTTTCCTTTTCATTGAACTTAAATATAAGTACATAATATACAGTTTTTCTACTCATCAGAAAGAAGTCTTTTTAAATACAGTACAGATTCTTGACAGCAAGACTTATAACATTTAAAGAGAGCAGTCACAGATACTTGGGAAATTAAATTAACATGTGCATTTATGAAATACAAGCAGTAGAGCTGTATCTGTTCCTATTGCTCCTTTCTTAATACAGCTTTTACTAATAACAGTTTTCTTCAATGCTGGCTAGAAAAATCCCTGCAGCTTAATTTTTTTAATTTTTATTTTTTCATTTTCATAACACCATGAGGTCAGACATTTTATTAAGAAGTTATTGTTGAGGATATTATAAAGAATGAGTACCATTTATCAGAAATATTTGTTAATATTTATATTGTCAATATATCCGCATCAATGGACTCAAGCGTGGCAACAGTAGTGAAGTTGGCCCAGGATCGGGCAGTGTTTCGTTCTACTGTGCATAAGGTCGCTATGAGTTGGCACCGACTCGATGGCACCTAACCACAACAACATACATCTATATTCTAATATCATATGACTTATCACATATTTAGACTGGTTTGTGAGGACAGAATTGATGTACAAATCTCACATAGTTCAATCATGGATGTCATTCAACAACAGTATTTTTTATTATTATTGGAAATTAGTTTCTGCCTAATGTAACCACAGTGCTCTAAACACTAAAAGTGTAGTCAAACAATGATTTGTTTGAATAATGAAAATTTAATTGAACATCAAATTAGTTTGCATTCCAATTCCAATGAACATAGACTCTGGAAATATTCTGAACTAGTTCAGTGAGAAAAGAAAAAGTACAATCTAGAAAGGATTTAAATAACTGTAAAGGAAATATAATTTACATAGAGTTTAATATAAAGGAAACAAGCTATGAAATCCCATGTTAACTTCAAAATACATTGTTATGTCTATCTCAAAAGGTCCATTTTTCAGAGAAGACTTCTTTCTACTTTTTCACAGACACTACTCAGGAGTTTATACTAGATGCAGGGGCGGGGAGGGGGGGGCGGAAGATTCAGGGAAAAATTCTACTAGCTAAACCCTAAAGGATAATCTGTTGCATGCATAGCTTCTACACTACCAAGTAACTTGTAGGAAACAACTCTGCTGCTGAAAGTATGAGAGCTAGAAACTGTGCCCCTGAGTATGATATCATAAAATGACTTTGCTATATTCACCTCTCCATCCTAGCATAATGGCTCAAGCAGGAACACAGCCATCAGGCCCCTGAGGCAACTCATGTTGTTAGATAAGGACCCTTTTCTTCATTACTCTTCCTGAAATCTTCTTACCAGAAGCTGCTCAATCAGGACAAATCAATCTCTATTCTCTGTATAATTTTTCAGTTCTTTGTGTTCTTTTGCCTGGTAGGTTTTATACGACATTGTTAACCAAGACTAAACAGCCAACTGGATTTACACCCACATATTACACCCAGTTATCCAAGTATGGATTTACATAATTTTTATTTACTTTTTTCTTACAATATTGTGATAACTGCATGTTCATGTTCATAAAAGTGTAAGAGAAACTTTCAGCATTATTTCTGTTAGTCCTTCCCCAAAGCTATTGGTTTCATACAATAGTCTACCTTAGAGCACATAATACTAAAAGAGACAATACAAACATACATAATAATTAAACAAACCCAGAGGAATAATGTCATGATGTCTTAATCTACTCAATTACACATAGGGAGATGTCTAATTTATTTTTAAAGTCCTCTGCTTAGCATGACACAATTTACAACTATTATTTCCTTTCGCTGGTAAAGAAAAGGGCAATACTAACTACTTTCAAGGAAACTTCCTCTTAAAAGCACAAGACAAGAATGGAATTCCTCTAGACAATATGCATTTTGCATTCCCAAGCATCCTTTGGATGCTTATGAGAAATTTGCCAGTGAAGTCTGACATTTATTTCTATTTAAAAGTCACAACTAATCTAGCAACACACCCCCAAGCCTAGCATCACTGCCAACTAAAATCCCCTTTTTATCAACTTTCTTCAATGTATATAGTAAAAGATTCACAACTCATCTGGTTAGGAGTAAAAGCAAAATCCTTCCTGAAGTACATATAATAAAACATGTGAAAACTGGATTATGGGATGGCTTAAATGGCTTTGTTTCAGATTCTGTAACTGAATAACATACACAGCAGTACAATGGTATTGAGTTTTTATGTTCCCTAATAAGACAACTCCCACCAGAGTGTTTCTCATGTTTTACAGTGACATCTATCAGCCAGTCCTGGGGAATCCCAACGTCACTCAGCCTTCTTCAGCACCACTTTCTGAGAACAGCTTCGGTCCACATAGTGGTGCAATCTGGAGAGGTCTCTGGCACACAAATTGCATTATGAAAATTAGGAAATGGTGTCTGCACAACGCTATTTCTTGACATTAAAAACAAATTGTTAGGTATCAATTAATTGCAGGATATAAGCACCTCAAATACCAACCTGGAATTTAAATAATTGGTCATCACACAAACAAATTTAAAAGAATTGACACTTTGTCTCACAGGCTGACTGAATATGGTATGGTGCAGGGTTTTGTAAAAATTCAATAAACCCAGTTATTAGATACATAGATGGAGAGGAAAAAGCTATTGTGTATGTTAGAATTTGTGGTGTATAATCATGTTAATTTATGGTTTGAGAAGAAACCCTGCTTATATGATAATCAGGAAATTATACATATATTTAGATCCTAGAAATTGTTTTATGAATGGCATAAATGTAATGCTACCTCAAAAGTATTAGATCACCACCTAACTTCTCAAACCTAATAATATTAAGAAGAACTGAAACAATACTTTTCCTCCAAAAAAAGTGAGAAATTGATTGTTAAACTTATCTTCCGAAATGCTTCTTGAAGGCCTACGTACATCTAAAGCTCCACAATTAAGTTCACCTGCTGATTCACTGACGTGCCAAAACACACTCCAAACCAAAATGTTGTGAAAACAAAAAAATCTTGAGATGATTTCTTCAAAAAAACAAAAAAACAACTACACTTTTGACATACACATGTTCACAAGGTACAAACTGCATCTATCTCTTGAGTAATCAGTTCGCCAAAAACTGCCACTTCCACAGAGAAATCTCAGCGCAACGTCCACCCCAAACCATCTCCACACTAAAGATTCTAAGTGAAAGTAAGCCATTAGCCTGTAGAACTCCCCTTCCCCCTTCAAAGAAACAAACAAAAAAAACCATAAGGTGACACACAAATCAACACCTCCTAACCACAGTGAAGTCAATCCACAGGCAAGAAAGCATCTTGTCCAATCCACTCTACTTGATGAACCAAATCCCAAAGGATTAAAAAGTTTCCGGCGCCCCAACCAAAATCAAATTTGGGTTTTCACCAGTAGCAAAACCCTAGCCAAGCAACTGAAAACTGGAGAAGGCGCTGCCAGTAGAATCCACAAAACCTCTCTCGTGGAGGATAACTTGGGAGTCTACAATCTTCAAACTAACAGCTCTTCCGATGTCGCGCCGCGCCCCAGGAGTGCGCCCTCCGCGCGCCTCTCGCACCCTCCCCATCGTGGGTCAGAAACTTACCGCACCGCTTGCATAGCACCCGGCTGACCTCCTTCTTAAGGTTCCGGCCAGTCTCGAGAGGGGGAAAAGATGCTCGGAAGGCGGCCGGTGAGTGGTTGCTGCTGTTGGCATCGGGCTCCATGAAGAAGATGTACCTGCTGTCTTCCTTGAGCCTCCCGCAAGAGGGGAAAGCGGGATGGCCCCAAGTCCCCAGGCGCACAGTGAGCAGTGAGTCCTTCTTCAAGCCCCCAGCTTTCACCGCCCACACCTGGTGCACCTTCACCAGATAAGGTGCGTCTTCCCCAGGATCGCCGGCACTGGGCGCTAGTACCGTGGGCCAAGAGGGCACAGTCCCGTTGGCGATGAACAGTGGGTCCTCGATGGGCGGCCCCAGTACCCCGGGGCCCGCGGCTGACGGCTCACGGTCGCCTCCCCACGCCCCTGACTCGCCCGCCACCGCCTTCCTTTCGAGTGCCCCCTGCTGCCGCCGCGGCGGGTGCACCTTTCCCTCGATCACCACCGCGGCGCGCTGAGCCAGCTCCTGCACCGAGCCCACGCTGGGCGGGGACGAGTAGCACACCGAGGGCCCCGCGGGAGCTGCCTCGTCGCCGGCGGCCGCTCCAGGCGCCAGGGCCGCGGTCCACAGCAACAGAAGCCGCAGCAGTGGCGGTCGCGAGCGTGCGGCGGGGCCGGGGTGCGGGGCCCAAGGGCCGGCACTCCCGGAGTGGTGCGAGGCGCGTCGCCATCTCATGGTGTGAGGTGCGTGCGGGCTCTGGGCTGTCTGTTCGGACTCTGCCTTGCTCTCTGGCGCTGCCTCCCTTTTCCTGCCCCCCCTCCCTGCCCCAGCGACACTCCTCCTCCCCCTTTACCCTCCTCCTTTTATTTATTTATTTGGGAGGGGGTGTATAGGAGAGTTGTTTATAGGAGGAGGAGGAGGGAAGGAAGAGGTGGGTGGAACCACAGAAAGGCGAAGAGGTATGGAGGGGGATTGCAAAATAGAGATTTTTTTAAAAAACAAAAAAGCTGCTGCCACCGCCTCGGTTGCTGAGAGTGACAGGTTCTCCTGGCGCCGCCGCCGCACCCGAACACTGCTGTCGGGGCTGCTGTCACCGGAGGACGACGTGGAGGTGGAGGAGCTGCTCAGAGGGTAACAGTCCTTTGTGTGAAGTGATGCTGCGGCGGCTGATGGGGCTGCGAGCGAGCGGCTTGGCGAGAGTGCGAGGGAGAGAGCCCTGGAGGCGGAGTTGCGTGCCTGAAAATCTCTGGGTGACCGCCGAGGCGGCTGCGCCCAGTGCTTCTCCTGCCTGTTTACCTGTAGTGTGAACTCTCCCCATCCTGATTTCCCAACTGGGCCCGCGAGTTTGTCCTCCTATGTCTTCCCTTCCCTGAGAGCCTCCTCCCTCTCTGTCGCCCTGATTGCTGCAATGGGAGGACCGGCGGCAAACAGGCTGCAGTCCGAGTGGGCTGCGGAGATTTACTGGGAAGCGAGAGGTGACGCTTCAGTAATCTGGAACCTGTTAGTCGGAGCAGGATGCCCAAAAGCAGGTGGGTAGCGGGCTGAGAAAACAGAATGGGACGTAGGAGATGCGGGTCCTCTTTTCAAAAAAGTTTTTGGGTGAATTGGTTACTTGAGAGTCAGAGAAGAGCAACACGTTCAGAGGCAACAACAGTAATTAAAACAACAACTTTATGATACTCCCCTGTGCTTTGTGCACTTCAGGTATGACGCCTCTTTCACTCTGTTCTTTTATCAACCCTGCCTTCTGCTGAAATTCCTGGCTCACCTGATATGAGCCAATTTTGAATAAAGTAGTTGCTCAGTAAGGCCATTTTGTATAAGGTTTATGGCACTTAATTAAATAAATCAGTCAATTATAAAAAAAAAAAAAAAGTAAAATAAAAGAAGTTTTTGTGACAGCTGGCTCAAAGGACCTCAGAAATGAGAAGTTGTAGGTTTCATTTGAATTCCTTTCCTACTGGCTGACTGAAAACTTTATGAGCAAAACTAAAGCAAGAAAGCATCATTTTCAAGGGATGTTTTGTAAGCAAGTACCATATACCAGAATGAGAACACATTTTAAGATGTAAAGGTTAAAGTTTCCAATTATGTTTTTTGATGGTGAAACAGATATCTAATGGCCAAATAAAATTGAGTAAAATTGTTCATGGTGCAATTAATCCTTCAAATTAAGCATTCTAATTAAGCATTCGAACTTCACTGGTATCTTTTATTCTGGGATTCTACAAGTTGCTTCTAGAAATTTTGTGGAAAAGAAAGTATGACATGTAAGTATAGCTTTTTAAAAATATAAGCAATAACAGTGGATCATAAACCACATATACACACACACACACAAACCTTTTTTTACTTGGTATAATGTAGTTGACTAGAAAATAATTTCTCATTCTCTCAAAACCCAGTTTACAGCTTGTCTCCTAGTCATTGTACATACACTGATGGAGTGCTTCCAGGGAATATCAAACATAGCATAGGAGTACATATCTCTTTATCAAAAGAAAGCAAGTCAAGCATTCAATCCTTTCACTTTTCTTTGACCTGATCTCACATATTTCAGTCTCTAGCCTAGGACAATTTTTCCCCTTTCCTCTTCACCTTTTCAGACATTGTATTATTATATCTATTGCTGTATGCCAAACTACTCCAAAATTTACTGGCCTAAAACAGTAACCACAAGTTGGAAATTTGGATTGGGCTCAGTTTGGGATTTCTTCTGGGCCTCACCTCTCTTCATGTGGTCTCTTGTCTTCCAGGAGGCATAGTCTGGGCTTATTCGTGGAAAATGGATATGTTCCAAGAGAGTAGCCAGAATCACACAAGGCTCAGAGCTCTACAACATCTCTGTCACTGTTATAAGACCAGCTCAGATTCCAAGGGTAGAGGTATATACTATCTCTCTCAACGTGAGGAACTTAAGAGTTGTACAACCAAGGGACAGGAATAAAGGAGGTGAATAATTGTAGCCATTTCTGCAAACAAAACATTCAACCACACAGATTGTAAGCATCCTTTGATGTCCATCTGCAGCATGAAACCTCATTTAAACCACTGATAGTGAGTAACCCCTACATTTCACTTCTACATTTCCATTTTAGATCCTGCCTCATTTTTTTATGTTATTTCATTTATTGGGTACCAAATGTTTCTAGAGTTCATTTCCTTCTCTCTGACGAGGTTGTAAACTTGTTATAAAGCAGACCATGTTTTCAGTTTTCCCCTGTTATAACCCAGTTTGGGGCATATATTAAGTACTCAGCAAATGTTGGCTGCATAGTGATGGACTGATATGGTAATGTGTTCACCATGCACTGTAACAGAGGGATGGAATTCTAGGCAATAAAAGCAACAATAAAATTTTAAAGCACTGGCTTACAAAGTCATTACATGCAGAAATATTCCTTCTTAATACATTACAAAATATTTTATCTATTATCAAACATAGACTTCTCTTTTAAAAAGTATCTTTTAAAAAGCCTTTACCCTATTCCTATATTTTCTCCCACTCCCATTTCAGTTGAATAATATTAAGAGGTAAATCTTGTTGAATTTTCTGTCCTAAATTCAATCTTCTTAAAACAGTTCAATTCTAAGACTTGTGTGCATATATATTTCATTTCAGTTCTTATATAACCCACTGCTATATAGTCTAGTACAACTAATAGCAACCTGTACAGGGTTTCTGAGGCTACAAATCTCTGGGAACAGAAAACCTCATCTTTCTCCCACAGAGTGGCCGGTGAACTTAAACCACTGACCGTGTGGTTCACAATCCAGTGCTTATCTTATGGACCCAGCATGCTCTCCTCATTCCTGGTTATGATCCCTCATTTGCTAGAAAACCTATACATTGGAGGCATATTACCCTTTTTTGTTTTCCCTTATGAATGAGGAATGTATGATGTTTCTAAAATTATTAACCTATTATGTGTGGGAAAACCTATGAATAACAGTTCAGTTCTGGTTAAATGCTGTTCAAAAAAAAAAAAAAAAGGGCAAATGTAATTTGCCTACATTATTGCTTTAAAAGGAAAAAAGAGAAAAGAAAACCAAACCAACGGCAATAAAAAGGAGACTCATTCTTATAAATGTTCTAAAACCAGCAGTTCTCAAGCGTTCATCAGAAAGCACAGTGATGGCACCAGCCCCATAACTTTTGATTCAGTAGGTCGGGGGTGAGGATTGATATTTTGCATTTCTAGCAAGTTCCTAGGTGATGTTGAGAGTACACTTTGAGAACCGCTATCATAAACTTTAAGATTATACACATTTGATTTCCACAGCATAATAATGCTGTATAAACATAATTAGACATTATATTCAAATAATCAGGGTCCCCTCTATCATGAAGGCCCCATATTATATTTTCTTCATCCAAATTTTGAAAAAATATGCACAACCTCTTCAATGGTCAGGAGCTGATACTGTTTTCAACAGTTAGTCTGAGAAGTTAAGGAGGCCTGCAGGACACCTGTTGACAGCAAAGATGAGTGCTTCTTTAAGAGCTTGTGAAAAGTGGTCAGAGTAGGAGCCCATAGAAAAACTCGGGGTCAGAATAGTTGTCAACTCGTTACCTAGAAATATTTTATCTGTTTATATGGGTAGAGAATAAGTAGATAGAATTATTTCGGTAATTATGAAATATTGTTTTTACTGTTTAAATTGTGTAAAGAGGAACTCCACAGTTGTTTCCACAGTGCTATGTAACCTGGAAAGGTTTTCCTACCCTAGCACTTTATACCTGATTGTTGTTGTTAAGTGCCATTGAATGGGTTCTGACTTATAGAGACCCCGTATAGGGCTTCCGAGGAGTAGCTGGTGGGTTTGAACTGCTAACCTTGTGGTTTATCCTACAGCACCACACCAGAGTCATTATACCTGATTAAAGACTTCTAAATGCTGGCTGTTGAAGGGGTGACAGGAAGTCCACAGAGGAACTGATATTTACTTTATTATCATTGACCAATAGTGTGCAGGAGTGCATACCTCCAGCTATGAATCACAAACCAACTACACCACTGGTCTTGGAGGCCTGAATCTGCAGCCTCCAAAAGCAGCCTCATTTACTTATTAGCAGCCTGTCTTGGAACAGATACAGGGTCCTGGACAATTTACAAACAGCGGGTTAACAAATTGGGGTTAAAAACAAAAAACTGGGCTTGACAGAAGAGCAAATCTAATGAACTGATGAATATGGACCCATAAAAGCCGTTTGAGAGAAGCAACCTGGTAGAATTCTCCACTGAATAAGGAGAAGGTTAGGGAGATTTCAGGAAAAATCTGTTACAATATGAGTCTTTAAGAATTACCTGCCTACCCCCTACTCAGTGAGTCATAGACACTGGGAACCTCGGTTACTTCCACCATTCAGCTATCCAATCATTGGTTCAATTATAAAATCACATAAAAGGCTAAGCCGAAACTGTATCTCTGGGTGGTACAAAGAGTTTGCTTGAAAACTACTAACAATAAGGTTTAATGTTTGAACCCACCCAGCAACAATGCGAGCAAGGCTTCACTAGGGTGCAGGGCTGCAGGGGTTTCAGACAGCACCCAGTGACTATCAGAAGGGGTGCACTTAAATGACTGTCTATATAGTTTTTGTTCAGTGTTTCAGAAGACATTTATTATTCATTATAAAAATATTCCTGTCGTTATAACAACAAAAGCATTTTTCATAAGCTCAGCTTACCTGTATCAATACACCTAGAAGACTAAACTCTATGATACTTTACTCCTATAAGGTTGGTGGTTCAAGCTCACCAACCACTCCTTGGAAACCCTATACAGGGTAGACTGTGGGTTGGAATCAACTCAACAGCACTTAACAACAACAACAATGTGCTCAAGCATAGCAATGATTGTGAGATCGGCCCAGGACCAGGCAATGTTTCGTTCTGATTTGCATAAAGTCAATACCAACTCCACGGCACCTAACAACAACACGATGTGCTCTGGTGTGG